TGGATCCCTAAATGATGTGTAATTAAAATTATTTTTAAAATCCTCCCTGACAGGCCGGGGCTTAGCCAAAATGTAAATGACATTAAAGAAGACAATGAATTTCATTTTATTTAATGTCCCTTTTTGCAGATCCTCATTTACATAGCATTTTTAACAAAAGCGTTGACCTTATAAATGCTGGCATTTGTACAGCTCCCTCGGAGTTGGATTTAATCACGCTCGTGCAAAGCCATGAGGGAGGGAGCCTTAAGTTCTCTGCTTGGAGAGGGAGAAGGAATAAAAACATTGGGACTGGTCAAATGTTTATCCTCCCCGCTTCTGAAAACAACCTGACAAGAAGATGTAAGGGGCTAGGGAATAACCCGGTGCTGTTTGTAAGGCCTGGTAATAATCATACATAATCGTTTGGAAATATAGCTAATAAAAAATATAATGAGTGTTCAGCAAAATCGGCATTAGGCCCAAATTACATGATATTAATACTTGAACAGGTGCAGAAAGGCGCTTTAAATGAGGTAAATGAATAAAATGTCCCAGAGCACAACTGTGTGTGCTGACAAAAAGTCAATGCCATGAATAATTCAGTGAGGAGGACTGCCAGCAAAGGTCGGCTCTCTTTGACCTTTGTGACAGGAAGTGAAAGGAAACACTGTTGGCTAAAAAAAAAAAAAGAGAGAGAAAGAAAGAAAGAAAATCTCCAATCGGCCTTCAGCTACCGTTCTGCAATCACTTTAAAGGTGTAAACTTAAAACTCATAAATGAATCAAAGGAAGGCTCTGGAGGGCCGGTGGATGGAGGGGGAGTTAAAACCGTGGACAGTTAGCTCTTCTGACTCAAGACCATGTGAAATCGCAGACAATGAGAGGTTAAGTCAATAATATTTTTCTACAACCCAATGTCAATTATGTATAAAAAATCTGAGGTCAGCTGAAAAGTATTTTCAGAGCCCACAGGGTTGAAATTTTGTAACAGCTGTTAAATATGACAAAACTCCCTCCTCCCCCCCAAACTAAAGCTATTCCAAACTCTGTATGAAAGAAAATGGGATAAACAGATGTCTGGCTTCCAGACAGGAAAGTAGGACAGACTTGGAATGATAAGTCTCCCAAACTCTATAGACCCTCGCCAGATTTACTGGGGAGGGGGCACTGCCTGCCACAGAGATGCCAGCGAGTAGGGCGCCTGAGACGGGGCCATCTGGAACCGCCCTGCCGAGCACGCCCCCGGCACGGCCCGGAGCACACAGTGTGTGACCCGGCCCCTCTGGACGGTCACACCACCCGGCTCCTGACACCTCCCCGACCGGCCTTTCCACTTTGCAACAGTTGGACCTGCACCTCTGGTCCACTGAGGGCCAGCACGGAAGGGGAGGTAAGAACGTGGACCCTCCTGGGCGCTTCCCGAGGCCCGGGAAACACCAGGATGGCACGGGAGGTGGGCGAGAGGCAGAGTGTGGCTTTGGTTTAGCAGCTACACCAACATCCTGTAATCATTTACAGCCCTTGGAATGTACGGGTGAAACAGGAGAGATTTATCTGTTCATAGTTGGGATATGTGGACAATGGGTGTTCCTAATGAAGACCATCTGCTTTTGTGTTTTCCCAGAAAACATTATTCCATGAGGAAAATGATACTCCCGTCCTTTTCAGCAATACCCTAAAAATTCATGTGTGTGTCTGTGTGTGTGTATATATATATATTTGTGCATGTATACACACACATATATAAACATGGGTATGCATGCATGAGTGTGTACACACACATATATACATGTATGTGGGTGTGTGCATGGTGTACACACACGTATATACGTGTGGGGTGTGCGTGGGTGTGCAAGCACGCGCACACACACACACACGTCTCCCCCCTCCCTGCATCTGGCTCTCCGCATCTCACCACCATCTACCATAGATGCTTGTTCCTGCAGCATCCCTTTACTGACCATGATTTTTCCTTTACAGTGCTATGTTTCTCCTTTACCCCATTAGTTATATTATTCTAAATATGCCACAGAATAATTATATTTGTGAAGCTATAAAAAAGGCACTGTTTCATCAAGAAGAAAACAGTTAACGTAAGTGAAACCTTCACCATAAATTATAACGGTTTTGTAATGCAAAACATTCTCACTTTTCCCCCCTCTTTTTTACAGAGGGGTCTTCCATGCTGTTCGTGAGTACTTAATGCTTCTGAAAGATAACTAAACTGAATTGTGTAATTAATTGACTTAAGGCATCGGAGTCTATAGAATGTGATTTCCCTGCCAGAGCAGGGAGCCTACCGCTCTGCTCTCATAACACAGAAAAGCAGTCTCAGCGTGCCAGAAGAGGCTCGGTGTGGGTTAGAACAAACGTGGGCCCATTGATCTCAATTCAGGTTGGAATTATTGGTTTATATCCTCAGGACAAATATGCCTTATCTGGTCAGAACCTGCTAAATGTATCCAAAGGCCACAAGGAGCCGGCAAAGCACATTGTATATAATTCTTTTTTAAGCCAAC